TGTCAACCAAGAGTGTTGACTGTGGAGCCAAGTAAATTAAAACTGTTAACTATCTCAATCTCTTCACCATCCATGCTGATGCTGCCAGTTGGCCCAGTGGTTAGAATCTTTCTTATCTTGACATTGAGCTTCAGTCCATATAGGAGGCCTTAGTCCTTGATCTTCTGCTACAAGCGCTTCAGGTCCTCCTCAGTTTCAGCAAGGAGGGTTGTGTCATCTGAATTTTACTTTCTTGAAATCTGAAGGCATAATTAATCCTTGTTAATTTAAGTGACAAATATGTCTTGGTGAAAGTGCAGCCAGAGTGCTCTTTGGAGGCAAAAGTGATAAAGGTTCACTTCACATACTTTGGACATGTTGCTGGGAAGGGCCTGTTTCTTTGAGAGGGATATGGTGCTCAGAGAGGCAGAGGGTCAGCAAAGGAGAGGAAGACGTTCAACCAAGTAGATTGACACTGTGATTGCTGCAATAGGCTTTAGTGTGTCAGGAAGTATGAGGATGGCTTAGGTACTTAGGGTTGCTGTAGATCATGCTTGACTTGAGAGCACCTGAGCACAGCAACTTCAGTTTTCTGTAGTGTGGAAAGGTGTTTTGAGTTTGTAAAGGAGTTTGCCTAATTTTGAGTGCTTTTTCTTATTTTAATCCTGGCCTTGTAGAACAGCCCTTTTCTTAGGCTGCTAAAAAATGCCCATCTTGTTCAAAAGCAGAGTTTTAATCCAGAATTGAAATTTAGCACTGCAGGAAGTAACTGAAGTCTTATTACATAGGCAGCATTCTTCTTTACTGTGGAACTGTGAATGGGCGTTAGGAGGCATGAATTAATAATACATTACCCACCTGAAAAAACAAACAAACAAACAAAAACCATTCCATCTCAAGTTACATTTCAGCTTTAGCAAGAATTTATTTTTTCTTTCAAAATTGTTTATCTTGGAACTCTATTCTGCTCGAATTTTACCATTAACCAAGAAGATGCTTCTTTATTCTTTACTAAGTGTAGTTTTCAGTGTTTGGATTCCTTGTGAGTCAGCAGTAAGTGCTATTTCCCATCTCTATAGCTGTTTTCTGAAGTAGATGGTTCAGTGTCATTCAGTGGGCATTAAACCAGACCCACTTCTGTCAAATCGATTCTGACTCATAATGACCCTCCATCAGATTTCATAGGCTGTATGTCTTTATGAGAGGAACATATCCATCTTTCTCCCAAAGCACAGCTGTTGAATTCAAACTATACACCTTTTTGTGTTAACAGTGCAGTGCATTAATGCACTACACCACCAGAGCTCCTTAGCATTGAATAAAGGGTAGCACAAAGCCTAGCTACAAATAAGTGACCCGTGTAAGGCATTGTCTATAGAAAGCTCTGATCTGTTAGTTCCTTCCCGGTAAAAAAAAATGAGATACATTTGGGATATCATAGATACTTAGATCTTGCTGTCATTGGTTGTGAGAAAATAATGGTGGAAAAAACCCATTTTGATCTTTATAATAGAGCTATATCATTTGAGTAGTTTTTTTTGGGTCTGATTTTGGAGACATGCAGATCCCAAAACAGGCAATTCAAAATGATGAAGATAGGTAACATGAAATTCTCACAGGAATGAAAGTGTTCGTAACCTTACAGAATGGAGTCTGGTCCTATATGTTGCCAGGTACTACAGTGCACTTAAGAGAATTTCATAATGCTGAAGCAAAGCAATAAATTATCTTAATAAAATCACTACCTGATGTAGAGTATGAGCACATTGACTAACCCTTGTACTAAATCAATTTAAAGTTAACATACTTTGAGTATCCACATGAATTGGCACAAATGCCGGGTAGTGTGGTTTGGTGGTGATGGGTTTTGGTTGGTTTGTCTTTGCTAAATTTCTCATTTATTGGGGGAAGGGGAATGCTTTTATCTTAACTTTCTAATCCTCTTTACTAAGAAGGTTCAACCTAAGATAGTAGGCAGTAAAAAGCTCCAGCTTGATAAATTGTTTAGATTTTGGTGTAGACGAGACAGTGCTCATTGTCGTTAGCACCAGTTAAGACCAATTACTATTCTAAAAAAAAGTGGGAATAAGAGATGAGATGTTTAAATGTAACTGCAACAAAAATCTTTGTAATTACCATTTTTTATATTGACAGGGTTTGTGTGAAGCTCTTCTGCTAAAATAGCTTAGTAAGTAAGTCTTGTAAGTTTGATTCATGCACTACCAAAAACATAGTTAACTTGTACTGAAATTGACTTCTGATAGTATTTCTCTTTTCATACTAACGTGGAATAATGTATAGTAGTGTATAAACATTTTTAATCTCATGAAAACATATTCGTTTTCTACTTTTTCTCTTGAGGAACTAATGATTATACCATAGTAAGAGTTTGGATTTTTTTTTTCAGCTTTTCTATGGCAGTGTCAAAAAAATACACATGATTGATAATGTATAGTGCCAGTGGAGGAGAGGCTAGTAAATGTCATCATACTATAACTGAGTGTGTATCCTTTTTCCCATTTTCTGTAGCACAAGTGGAAGTGCTGTCCGCAGCACTGCGTGCCTCCCATCTGGATGCTCATGAGGAGACTCTGAGTATTGAGAAGACAAGTGATTTGCAAGATGAACTGGGTATAAATGAGCTACCAAATGTTAAAATAAATCAAGATGATTCTGTGCCTTTAATCAGCGATTCTGTTGAGGTAACAAACTCATAAAAAAGTGTTTATCAAGCGAGAATAGTTTGAATCTGAAGTATGTTGTTGGGGATACTGATTTTACCTTATTGTATAAAATAAAATTGTCACCACATTTTGTCTTTGGGCATAAGAATCCTAGTAAATCCAGTTCTGCCTCCATGACCATTTCAGTAGTCTCAATGTTAATGTGGCTTACTGCAATGAAATAGTCTTGCTGGAAACAAAGCCCTTTATCAAGAATTATTAACTGTTCCCTTTTTTTTTTGGAGAGGTGCTTTGTTTCTGATCGGACCATTTCACTGCAGCAAGCAACACAGTATTCTGAGCAGAAGATCGGGACTTGGGGCCATGTTGCGGAGGGCCAGTGGCATTATCTGGACTCTGGAGTGTGAGGGTGGGTACTGTTGCTAGCATCATCTTTGATATGTACTTGTGGCTATTCTGTATGATCCTTCCCTGCTTTTCTGCTGCATCACCATTAGTCCAGCATCACTTACCCCTTATTTGCATAAATGGGAGAAGGAACACTGATTACCACAATCAGATAGGCATATATCAATAGTGGGTTGAAAGATAAGCTCTGGAAGGATTGCCTGTCCCTGTGTTAAGACTGGCAGGAGATTGCTTATTACTTTACTGCATTCATTCACTTTTTGTTAATATTACTGAGTATAGTTAACTATCTGAATAATATCTGTACTACAAAACTAAGCCCTGATCATTTACCATCATTGGTGACATCAATATTATGATACACTTAAATTTTTTGTAATCAGCATAGAAATTTATTCGAATTCAAAATAATGTAGTTATATTTAGAATGTAATAATCATCTAAAGCAAATATCATCATTGGCTCTGGAGGAGATCTAGTTCTTCTAAAGTCCAAAAATATGTGGTGATATACAAGGAGGCAAAAATATATATTAAACCCAAGTCTGCTAAGTATAGGAAGTTGTAACAAGAGAGGGACACATAGACTAAGAAAGGTACATTTGAATAACAAATATGTAAAAACACATTTTTCAGCTTTATCAGCTCCTTTGAACCCTCACACCACTTGGCTAACAGAACAAAATTCCTCCAGGATGCAAGGAGGAATCATGAGGGATACAAGGAGGAATTTCCTAGTCTAACATTTCTCCTCACATCAATTCCTTTTAAGATGAAAGAGTATTTGGTTGAATATGTTTAGGAATATAAACTTTCTACAAACAGATGTATCAGCTAGTTATAGCAGAAGCTATCAATGGCTTGAGGACAACGAGAAGATTTAGTTAAATATGTTTGATAAATATCATAAAAGAATGAGCAGTTAAAAGTGAGTGGGGAAAATAAATCCTAGGGTTTACTAGGTCATTGAAAGCAGACATGTGACCTTTGACTGATTTACTTATGAAGTAACCTTCAAATGGGGAGGCTGCAACAGTGTCTCTCCACAGCCAAAGGGCAAAAAAACTCAGAGGGTCTCTTCCTCTCACAGAAACTGGAACACAGGCGAGAACGCTTTCTTTTTGGAGCCCTTTGCACACATTGTCCTGTAGATCTGATGAGCCACACTGCCCAGAATGATTAGGCTCTTTGTGTAGGTAGCAGGTTTTTGTGCTAACCCAGATCCTTAGCCATGAGTGTTGTTCCAGGTCCACCCTGGTAATTCTTAGTCTAGGGAACACTGTTCATCACCGCAGCTCATATTTAGAATTTTAGCCAATCGTTTGGGTCAAGGCCTAGCTATTCTAGTCATACTGATCACTAGCAGCATGTGCTTGTAGACCTTTGCAGCCTGTCCAGTTCCAGCAACGCCACAGTACAGCACACTGGAGCCCATGCATCCTAGCACCTGTTGGGCAGCAGCAAATTCCTCTTCGACTCCTCCCACCATAAATGTGAGGATCCCAGACCAGGCCACTCTCACAACATCAGAAACAGGGGCATCCAGGAAAACTGCTCCCATTTTCTCATCTTTTTCAGCTAATTCTTTTACAACTGCAGGATTAATAGTGCTGGAATCTATTCATGATGACCCTTTCTTCACATTCTTTAGAATTCTGTTTACTCCAGAATAACCTTCTAATGCATTCATACTGCTGGGGAGCATTATAATAATTTTGTGAGACTTCTCAGCTCCATCTACTAGGGAAGACACTACCTGTTCACCTTTGCCTTGAAACTCTTTGCATGCGTCATAAATGACGAGTAAATACCCATGCTTCAGGAGATTTTTTTGCCATTGGATTTCCCATATTTCTCAGTCTGATGAATCCAACAGGAGTTTTGGAAGCCCTAGACGTAGAACACACCACTGGAAGACCCATCATAGGTAGAAGCTGCCAGTGGCTCTAGTACTGGAGGTGGCTCTGTGGAGCCACATGGGGGCTGCCATGCTACCCCTACCCTACCTCCCATGGTGATCTCTGTCACAGCTGACTGCCTACGCTTGTACTTTTAAAAGGCTTTTGTCTTGTTCTGTCTTTTTGACTATTAAACCTTGTATTTGTGAAATTAGAAACTAACAACCAAAAAATAGACTAGGGAAAAAGCTGGATATAATGCCCTATAACAAAGCAATTAAAAGAAACTGTAAATACTCTTTTAAAGAAGTAAACCAGTTTTCTGGTTTTGAACCTTTTCAGAGTTATATTTCTTTTGATTTTTTTTCTAGATTCTTATTTTCATGTGTTTAGCAGTATGGTCATCACGTTTGATTTAAGGGACAGAAAGTTCTTATTAAGCCTTAAATAATGTTTGTAAACTTTTAAAAGTTGGCAGAATTGATGTATATTTTTATCTCTTGAGAGTCTTAGAAGGTAAGCATCTTAGTGGTGGTATGTCTGTGAAGTAACTCAGTAGGATATTTTAAATGAAGTAAACTACCAGATGGGACAAATCTTTCAGTTGATGATTTTTTTATTTTTTTACAGAATATGGACTCCACTCTTTGCTATATTCATAATGATTCAGACCTGAGCACCAATAGTAGTTTCAGCCCTGATGAGGAAAGGAAATCAAAAGTACAAGTAAGTGACAAAATAAGGATTTTTGTATGTATTTCTTCCCAGTTCATCTGTTCGAAGTCCATTTCTAACCTAATTTTATCCTTTTCAAAGCATTATTTATTAAAGACTATAAATTTTTCTAGCACTATTTACTTTTCTTTTGATAAGAAATTTCACACATTAGAGAAAGCAAAGTTGTTGTAACCGTGGTGCAGTGTCATTGTCTGGCCTGCTCATCTAACTTCTCCAGGAAGAAGGAAAATCAAGATCAGCAGCAGCAGCCCAGACTTAGTCCTGGGAGGCAGAAATCAGACACATATCCTCTCCTACCTTTTTATCCATTTGGACACCAGCAGACCCCCCATGTTCTCTACTTCTCTGCTGAATTTGGTAATTTGTTGCAGTGGCCACACAGAAGGAACAGGTTATACTCACAGTTACAAGGCTTATGAAAAAAGTAACACATTCTAATTCAAGAACAGAAACCACTCAGAATGCAGTTCTTAAATTGGAACAGCTCCTCATTAGGCCTTTCTCTGGACCTTGTAATCTTGACCCCTCAGGCTTTTTGAGCCAGCCTGGCTTCTGCCCTGTTCAGGTGAATGTTACAAAGCTGGTTAGTTCCTCCACTGACAAGTATCTAGTTAGTGAGCTAAGCTCTAACTCATGCCAGGAAGCCGTGCTGAAGATGTTTACCTTTCTCACTTCATGGGCCAACAGGCCTCCCACACTGTCTATAGATCTGCTGTCACTGCTTTCACCATGTTTCCGCCTCTGTTGTTAACCCCTCTGTTGTCTGGGTCAGAGAAGTCCTCAGCTCAGAGTTCCTAGGTCAGAGAACAAACTTGACTCTCACCTTCTCTTGGTCATAGTGCAGTCTTCCCTTTCCTCCTCTACAGTGACTCGTTTTACGCCTAGTTGTTGTTGACTCTCACCTCCTCTTGGTCATAGTGCAGTCTTCCCTTTCCTCCTCTACAGTGACTCGTTTTACGCCTAGTTGTTGTTGACTCTCACCTCCTCTTGGTCATAGTGCAGTCTTCCCTTTCCTCCTCTACAGTGACTTGTTTTAAGCCTAGTTGTTGATGATGATGATGTTGTTGATGGCCGTCTAGTCGAGCATGACTCAGCAGCTATGAACAAAAGACTAACGCCTTTCCATAACTATCGTCATTTCTCCAAGTTCATAAGAGTTTCCAGAGACATGTAGTTTAGGAAGTGGATGGCAAAATGGACTCATTTCCTCATTGGGATTCCATCTACTTTATTTGGCTCATCCCTTCCCTGCCATGGGCTACCATACACTTTGTTCGTGAGCTGCCCAATTTCCTTCAAGGCCACAAACATTTTTTGCCCCGTCTCACATAGTTATTTGGTGGGAGTTAGAAGATCATGATAAGAAGGCAAAAGTTAGTCACTTGCTGTGGATGGAGTCATAGGTGAGCCTCCAGCCAGTTTTCAGAGGCTATAAAATCACACAGGAGGAGACTGCTCTTTGTCCCGCAGAGCCTCTGGTGAATATGAACTGCCACATGGGTACCTCCTTCAGATAAGCAGTACACAACTGCTTACGGACTATACCCCCAGAGTTCCTGATGACAAGAAAGGCCATATAAAAGCAGTCCATTAAATGACATCGTATTCCCCATGCCTATAATCCTATCCTTTCTTAGAAGTAACCACTAATCACAGTTCCCTTTGTATTTCTTCCAAAATTTGTTGTTGTTGCGTATCATCAAGTCACAGCCAACCCATGTGGATTTTCAGATGCAGTTAGTTGTACAAGAGGAGATTGCCCCTCTTTCTCCCATGAAGCAGTTGGTGGATTCAAACCGTCTGCCTTCAGGATTGCAGCCCAGCTTCTTGCCACTAGACCACCAGGGTTTCCTTTTTTGCCATCCAAAGACAAAGCAGATCATACTATCATACCCAAATACCATGCCTGAGTTTCCACAAACAATGTTACAGCCCTCTTTCAGAGATTAAAATATGGAAAGATTGCTTAAAGCCATTGTAAAGTACTATTAGATTTCCAACTTCAGAGATTTCAAACATGGAAAAATATGCATAGACTGGAGAATCGTTGAATGTTTTATACCTTTCTGTTTTTTCTTTAAACATATTTGCCACTGTATTTTAGCATGTAGAGATGCCCTCACACTATGCATAGTCGGCCACATAGTGTTCTGTTATAAGAAGATACTACAATTTAAATAGTTCCTTACTGATGGTGTTTAGATGATTCTAGTACATGCAGTACTTACATTCTACATGTTTATATGTGCCTTTTATTTGCCTGTGGGAATATATATTATTACTAGATACAGATTTCCTATGTCAGATGGTTTGTATTTTTTATTTTTATTTGCCCCATTTATTTTAAGTGGAATCAATGTGATTTTATTAAGTATAGGCTTACATAGTTCAGAATTTTAATTTTTTCTCATCTATTTTTCCTCATCCTTCCAACCAGTTTTCTCTTTCTAAAGCTGTTTATTGGGACATAAATAAGCACAATTATGTTTGTATTCTTTTCCTCACATTTTATACAAATGGATAAAAGTATATTTTTTTATTTTTGTGTTATATTGGATTTTATCCAAAATTTATAAACATTGTCTTTCACAAATTCCTTCTTTCAGGGTATACATTTTTATAAATAAATTCTTGGCTAAATTCTCTCTAAAGAAGGAAAATTGTTTGTTTTTTAACATGTTGCTTAATAGTACATGTGAGTTATCTGTTTTATTGTGCTTACTAGTTTACATAAAACTTTTTTAATCTTTGCAATTGAACATAAAATATACTTACTATTTTTTAAAATTTATTATTAATTTCAATGAAAATTTAGAGACTTTGGATTTCCATTCATTCCTTGTTGCACTTTTCTCCCCTCCTAAACCTCCCTCCCAGTACACAGTACTCTTAGAAAAGTAAAAGAAAAATTCTTTCCTTGTTTTACAGTTCCTTCCCCCAGATCCACTCCATTATGCAGCCTTCACTCTGGACTCCTGTTATGACAAAAATACCTAATCACATATCCCTTTTAAACAGTTTTCTTAGCTGTTTCAATGCAGTATACACTATTGAACCCATCTTTCTCAGTCTCCCGCCAACCCCAATGTCAGTCTTGTTTTACAACAGTAGCAGCATGCAGTATTTGTCCTTTTGTGACTGAGATACTTCACTCAGCATAATGTCCTCCAGGGTCACCCATTTTGAAAAATATTACATGAGTTCCTTATTTCTCAATGCAGCATAGTAAGTATTCCATTGTGTGAATTTACCACAGCTTCTCTATCCATTCGTTTGTTGATGGGCACTTAGGTTGTTTCCAACT